CGTTACACATGGGGAAAAACCACGAAAACGCCCATGCAGCCAGCCCGTTCGCGGGATTCGAACGTCATACCGAACTACCAGTGTTCAGCGAACTACCAGTGTTCAGCGTCTGCAATTGCCCGAGCAGTTGACTTTTAATCTTACGTTATTCAGTCAGAAAACGTATTCCAAATGTTTTGTATTGCATGACAATGCATCTTTTTATTATATTACTGATGATTAGGATTAAGTTCTTGTCAATTACATTCTAAATTAGAATTTTAAGAATATAATGAAAATACGCTACGTACAAAAATATATTTTAGGATAAAAAATTAGTTGATTTTTTATGTTTTAAAACTTCTTAAGTTCATTTAATAAACATCGTATCCTCGTTGTTAATTGAATCCAGAATGTTGGGTGTCGTTTATATAATTATTCTTACTTGTCCACAGAAGCCTGCCTGACTTATCCAACCATTAAGTAGCTGCAGATCATTTCTACATAAACACTTGAACTTCCACTTAATTCAGTCTCTAGAGGGTTGTATGTTTATATCATAATTTGAGTTATATAAATGATTATTCTAAATCTTATGCTTTCTATAAAAATATACTGTGGTTTAAAAATATGGATGATAGTATCAGCCGCTCTTTCAGCCCTTAATAAGCAACAGTTCCTTAGAAATAAATTATGCAGTTAATATCATAAAATATTTTCATAAAATTCAAATAAACATCAAACGAAAATTCTCACTTTTAGACAATTCGATTTAAACAGTTAAAGTAAAGTAGCAGACGATAAAACGAAGGTAAAAATTTACTCTTACAAAAATTTACTCTTATTTTTTTTTTTTTTTTTTTTTTTTTTAAAGGAAGAAAGAGAGAAATAAAAAAAAAATAGTTAAAAATTTCAATAATATCATCTGTAATTTTTAAAAAAATAGCTTTTCATATAGTATTAATAAATATTTATTACGCATCATTGAGGGAAAATATTTCATATAAATAATTCTCCCTAAAATTTTACTTGAAGTTTAAAGTTAAAAATAGCTGTGGCAATTCACTGTAACAAAAATCCATAAACCACATTTGGCGTTATTATCGCTCAAAAAAAATATGCCAAATTTCAAAACGCGAAAATATGTAAATTCATGTATATCTTAGGATATTTTGAATAAAAAAGTCTAGTTTTTTGCAGATACGCTTAAAAATACACTTACTTTAAGATGATGGTAAAAATTTTATAGGGTATAATTCAAAAAGTTTTTCGAAAAATTTATAAAAATTATTTAAAAATAGAAATTTAAAAAATAAAACACAAAAAATGGGTAAATTTATAAAAATTATTTAAAAATAGAAATTTAAAAAATAAAACACAAAAAATGGGTAAATTTTATTTGGAATGAACCGAAATTTCGAAATGTGAAAGGAAAAATAATAAAAGTTTAATAAAAAAAGAGATATGAATAAATATTTACCAAATTCAATTAACATTGAGGAGCTAAAATTTTGAGAGCCAATATTTTAAAAATTACTCGTACGATTTTTACAAAACTTGGTATTCTGGCATAATTTGAGACGTAGAATCGAAATATGGAAAAATATTGATATATTATTTCAGAAAAAGTCCGATTAAAAATTGGACTTCTCAAGTCGTTCTAAATTCACACTAATATTATTGCAATATATTCCCGTATTAAGCTTTCCATTTTTAATCAATGAAGTTATTTAACTTTGTTACAAATTCCATATTTTAATACTAGAAACTTTTAAATATTTATTCTGCTTTCCACCTGATGTACTTTGGCATACATTTAATTTCTAATACACATTTAATTAATAAATTAATAATTATGAGTGTCAACAGAATTTTCATAATTAACAAACAAAAAAATCAAACTCCCTTATATTCATATCCTGGGATTTTCAGTTCCCTTTTAATCCCCCTTTTTCACATATTGTTGCACTGTACTCAAGTTTTCATGTATGTAGAATTTATATACTTTGTATTGTATTTATGTCAATTTATATTTAAATGATAATTTTTACAAATTCTTGCATCACAACTCTAGTTAACAGAAGATGTTTCTAACACCTTGGCAAAGTCTTATCTTCAGCATATAGCTTATTTCCCAACCTAGTTTCAGGCTGAATTATTTGTAAAATTAATTACTTGAAATTTAATGAAGTAAAAATACTTTTTTAATTTATTCTTTAAAAATATTGCAAAAATTTTCACCTTTACCTTAGCATATCTTTTTACAAATAGCTCTAATAAGAAAAAATAAGAAAAGAAATTAACTCGATTTCGGTGATTGATACCTCGGTGCAAATTATGTAACATTTTTTCCAAAAGCATAGATTTATATGGATATCAATAAATTAAGGATTATTTCTCCATCTAATTTTCTTAACATGTTTATTCCAGAATTTTCTTCCACATTGTAGCGCTTAACTTTACGAGTTTTATATAATCATTCAATTTCTCTAGCCATGCAACTTTTCATACCTTCTGACAGTAAGTAGTTATATTTTTAACCACTGTATTTTAATTCCTGTTGACTATCAGTACATTATCACTTGTTTTACACGTGCAACTTTTATTTTATACTCAAATCTACGTTAAATAGCATTAAAACTTCAGTTATGCGGAGCTCCTGATCGATGCTTGTTATAGATGAATGAAATTAAGCTTAATGTACTCTTAATAGCTTGTTATTAATTAATTATATTTTTCTAATTAATTGTATGTTCAGAATTTCCAAGTGATTACTCAACTTGGCATCCCAATTTTAATTTTTGGTTAAAAAAAATAAGCTTTATTTATTGAGGGGCCTAATTGATATTAATTTGCAGTGCTGTTACTTAATTCTTTTCTTCTAGATAAATTTTAGAAAAAACTTCTTGCATAATAATTTAAATTTATTACAATGATACGTCAGTGTTCAAAAGCCGTAGTAATGTTGTTATATATTTATAATAATATTATAATTTGTTAAATAGATTTCATGCTAAGCTTTTTTTAAAATTTACTATAATTTTGCCAAATATATACATGATTACTTAAACAAAATATTTTAGCACACTTTAACATGGAAGCTTTATAAATATTAATTTAGTATTTAATTAGGCAAAGCACACGAGGGCTATCTGCCTAAAGGGAGGGATGCCTTTTCGTGGAGGACTTTCTAAGGGAAACTGGCTCGTATATACGTTACACATGGGGAAAACCACGAAAACGCCCATGCAGCCAGCCCGTTCGCGGGATTCGACCTCGACCGAACTACCAGTGTCAGCGTCTTACCGCTCGGCGCTGGTGGGCTATTAATTTATGATATTATTATAATAAATGAAGATGTTTGTAAGCAATATGTATTTACAACTTTATTTTCTTTGTTAGCTCTCGATTATTACTGTTATTCAAGTAATTAGCCTGCCGTTAGATATTTTTACTTGTTCTGTGTGATGTATTCTATTTATTATTTTTATTTTCTCTGGCTACAATGGCTTCGAAAAATTAAACTGTAACCCTGTAGGCAGCAGGGGTAAGAAATTAAGAAATTTTGATTGGGGCGCAGTTGGACTATAGCTCGACCCGGGGGGGATTTTCATTAGCGCAGTTGGAGTACACCCCGGGAAATATAGTACTGACCTTTTTTTTTTTTTTTTTTTTTTTTTTTTAGCAGTGTACCTCAATCCTAATCCTGTTACGTATTATTTAAAAACAAATGAATGCGACAATGATGAAGTAAGAAAATGGATTTTTACGTAGCTAGGAGCATTATATTTTACGACTTTTCAATTTGGTGGCTAATCCACTAGCTAATGCAAACACTACGAAATAGCATTTATTAAACGCAATTATCGCATTTGTTAAAAGAATTGAATGTGATAATAATAAAGTCAAACAATAACGTTTTTCCTTGTCGTTAGCATAACTTTTTAGGATATTGTGTATATATCTTAATTATTAAATTTTAAAAGAATATGAAGCGTTGCCAGTTTTAAGGTTCTTTGGTGAAAGAGAAGTAGGCTGAAACATTTACCGCTCCCGAAGTTGATGAATTTTATTTAGCCTAACAAAACTCAGAGTATGTTCACCACATTTTAAAAAAGTGTAACATGGCTGCATAATAACTCCAACCCCGTGCATAACGTCTCTATAATGTGCACTCTTAATATTTTAGTTTTATATTTCAAGCATCATTGCAATATGTCCCATATAAAGTTAGTGAGGCTATAAACCAATGATATAAACTTAAGCTTCGAGAATTCGCGAATAGAGAATGTAAAATCTTTTGAGTGTAATTTGTGCATTGTGATGTCATGCGTTGCCATACGAATAATTTCCTGAAATAACGTAATAATGAAGAATTATTTTTAAAAAATAAAGCTACTTTGTGCATAATGTAAAGTAATTACTTGTGGTTTAGGACCACTAAAGTATCTGCGGACAGAAGAACTAACAGTGTTTTATTTACATTACAAAGTTTCGGAATCTTCATGTGTGAATTGCATTTACATAGCATATGTCTTAGTTGGAAATAATTTTTAATGGATACATGCAGTAAATTTACATAAATTCTCTATCTAAAATGCTGTCGAAATTCAAAGATCTTAATACAGAAGTAGCACAAACAATAAATTATTAGTACACAAAAAAATCAAAGGAGCTAGTGTCATATGATACTGCGATTACCTGACATTTTGCAGGTGTCTTTTAAACTAACGTTACAAATTAGCATGTAACATATATTTTAATGCATCATAAATGCGATAATATCCTGTATAATTTCTTGCACATGTTGTGAACAGTAATGCAAAGCAAAGGGTAATGCAGCAATGTAGCAATGGTTCCTCTGAGCTAAAGCTTACTCATGTATGAAATGTAATTGCTTAGGCTTAATATATAATAAGAAAATGCCTTCATTAATTAAGCCAAATAAATCTATTTTAATAAAACATAAATTTATGTGAACTTAATATTTGTTGACAGCTTTTTTGTATTTCTTTCCATAGGAGGCTTGTCGCGTTTTATCCGGTTTCATCCACTATTTTTATTTGGCGGTAGGATGTTGGATCGCCATCTTGACTCATGCGCTCTTCAAGGGATTCATCAAAGGAATTGTCGACGGCAGGGTGCGGTTCTACTTACTCGTAGGATGGGGTACAAGAAATTTTTATTTTTATTCATAAATAACCCAGTAACATAAAATAAGATGAGTTAAAATACCTATTCATTTCAGAAGTTTTATAACAGAAATTCAATTTCGATTTTTTTTTTTTTTTTTTATTTCCTTGTAAGAAGTAAAAAGGAAGTATTGTAATCGCGAAAAGTTTCAGGCATCATATTTCAAAGAAAATACCCATTTTGACCGCTATGGAATGCAATTTAACGATGTTTTTGCATGACATCTGTACGTAAGGACAGAATAAAAGAGTCTTCCTCTAAAAAATTATAAAACTGATTTAAAATGAATTTTGAAGAGATTTTTTCGTGGAGTCTGTACGTATCTCGCATAACTCAAAAACGAGTAGCCTTAGAACGTTGAAATTTTGTATATAGGACTGCTATAACATACAGATATGCACCTCGTATTTTGGTTTCAATCGGCTACACTAAACGCATATAAATATATGCATATATCTACTTTGTTATCCGGCTTAGTGATCTTTGTAAATTGTGCCCTTTTTGCTTTAAAAATAATTGAATTATGTTGTTCTTATCTTCCGATTAAGGTTTTCATGCCTTTAGTAAATCTGCATGTAATAATTGTAGGAATTATCAACATTTTAGAAGTTTTTTTAAGTGCGGCTAAGCCTAATTATTTGATTGATGATAGTACGGCCATATCTGTTTACATTTGAAACTTAAAAAAAAAGAATAGTGGATTTGTGTCCAATCTAGAGAAATTAAGCTTCGCAACAAACAAAATAACGTCCTTCTTTTATTACTGCGAATTAAATTATGCTTAATTCATTCTAGAATTATAATTTGAGGAATTATTATTTTTGCGTACAGATTTACTGTAATTTTAATATAGATATTTTGAGTTTTTATGTATTTTTGCCTTGTCGGGAAGTGAGAACTGAATTAATTGAATGAAAAATACTGAATTGTCTGTGAAAAACTGTTTCTTTTTTGTTTTGTTTGCTTAATTTCTTTTATACCTCGTTTTAGATTTATTATAGTATTTGAATAGAACATGTGGCAACGATCAGATAATTCTTCAAATGATATAATTTTTTTGCATTCTGAGTTATAATATGAACGAAATGTAACGCTGTTAAGTAAACCTGGCGTCAGAGTGTCGCTATGGTAAACAAATATTGTGAATTTTAGAGAGTGCATTTTTTCTATTGTGGTTTATGCGCTATCGACGAAGTAGATTTAATTCAATTCAATAAGTTTAAATGAAATGCAAGAAAAAATGCATATAATTTAATATTTCGTACAAGGAAATCATGGAGTGTACACATCAGATTTTTTTATTTAATGAAACAAATAATACGTTTTCTTGGTGTATTATAAATGTAATGTATAATAACTATATAATAAATTAATTATGAGTTTCGTTTTAAGTTACAGTGCATTTGTTAAGGTTTTGCATCCCTATTATAAACTTCTGGAATTTAATCGAATGAACTCGACCAGCCATTTGCACATTTATATGGCACCCTTTGCACATAAGTTTATAAGCCTCAAGGACCTTTGAGACTTTTTGATGATACGGGTATTACTGAGCCCTTCCCCCTCCCACACACAGAAAATGAAACTAGGATGAACCAAAAATTCATGCTTTGACAATTAAGCCAGGTGCCGCGTTTAATTTTACTAGGGTTTCAAGGACTTTTTGGTCGCATTTAACGGGCTGATGTCTGCTTTTTCAAATCCTATATGACTTCATTTTACAACTAACCGAGAAGCTACAAAATCTTTAATTTCAAACATTCCCAATGCAACAAAATATTTGCTTGTGTAATTTTTTAGATTTCGTTTTGGTTAACGTAAAGGGTAACTAGTTTTTGTTTAGAAAGTCTACAAGGAAAGAATACAGCATTCAAGCTTCAGTCCTTACAGACTTAAGCAGTGAGTCCTAAATCATTTCTCACAATTAATTATCTGTCTATTAAGATTATTTTGAATACATCTTGATTTTCCTTTCGGGCCTTTTTACTTTTAATACCTGACTGCAATTATTTAGTTGCTTGACCAGGTATGAAAATTTCATGAGTATTTCCATGCTCCTCTTTTATGCTTCAGTTTAGTAGGTATAAAATTATCATACAGAAACATAAAAAATAGTCATAAAGATGTAAATATCTGTTCTTAAATATAAATATAATGTTCTCTCTGATAAATTTTATAATTTACACTAACTCCAGAGATAAAACATACATTTTATGGCCTAACCTACATCCTGATTTTTAACTTGCCATTTTTCTCAATTAAAGTATTACCGACATGCTCAGATTATATCGCTAAAATTACTCTAGTCTTTGTTACGAATAGGCAGATTATTTAATAGGTTTCTAATTTCACAGTTTGCAACAGTCTCAGTAAAGTAGGTTTTAAAACATTTTTTTTGGAAAAAGAAAAGTAACAGAAAATCTTTTTTTTCTTTTATATGCACTTATATATATATATATTTAACAAGCTAGGAAGTAATTACAATACTGAAAAATAGAACTTTCAAATTTATAATCTTGCTCGATTGTATCTAACATTGACATTAAATAATTGATTAATTAAGTTAAATTATAACAAAAAGGCAAAAAAATGAATTTGAAAAGTGATAACTTAAGAAAAAATATTTAAAATACTAATCAGAACAAAAGATATAAATTTTGTGTATGTTATGTAACAACATACTGAGTTGGCTGAGTTGTGAAAGTATTAATTAATTAAATGTAAAAATACAGTAAATACAACTTTGGTAAAGCCCTGTTTTATCACGTCAGAGTTAAACCTTTTCAAGAACTGAAAAAATCAGACGCCGATACTATAGTTTTATCTCGCATACTAGATTTGTTTCTGTTAGTCTCGAGCTAGTAGAGGTATCGAAATTAATAATTTTAAAATTATTTGTAGCTCTGAAAATTAAAGATGTCACCTCTACATATCCAATCTGCCAAAACATAGTAAAAATTCAAACAATGAAAGCACCATCCAAATAGAAAATTAATGTACCGAAAATTCCGTTAAGTATGAAAAACAAAATTGGCGGAAAAGGCAAAAAAGGAACTTATAACATGGAAATTATCAACAATAGCAAAAAAATGGTAACTTATACAGTCTGGAATAATAGAATCAAAGCTATTTATTCGCATCTAATTATAGAAATATGTAAATAAATAAGCCAGAAAAATTATTACGTACTCTATGCTTGTAATCTAAAAAATGTCCGTTGAAAAATGAGTGTGAAAAAGGATGTCAAGAAGGAATGTGAAGCATAGTTACTATTCGCTACTTTTAATCTCGCCAAGTAATACTGGAGAAAGAATTTACAAATACTAAAGAAGAACTGCAAACCTCAAAATGAAATTCAGTAATTAATTTTTGGCAAAAGCTAGGGAAAATGAAAATAGAAAACTAGAACACAGTGGCAGTTCTTCACGTTCTTTTGGCTTAAAATGACAAATTTACAGGTTTCTTATACTATAAATCATTTTTACTCATTCGCCTCATTGCTCCTGTTAGGTTTAAAAACGGTCTTCATTACGTAAAAAAACATTCAAATTGCTCCAACATTTTTAACTGTTCCTTTTTTAAATAAATGACTTAAAAACTTGATTAGTAATGTCTGTGAAAATAAAATAAATTCTTGTTGCTATTGCTTAAGTTTTATGCAAATAATTTTGATACGAACTAATTGTTTGTAAATTGTAATTCATATAACGTTTTTGGAGATGTTAGTCTTCTACTTAATAAGTTTTAGATAAATTTCTTTTTTGAAAAAATAAACTCTCAGGTAGTCTCACAATTGCCAACGAGCTTCTCCCACATGCCATTCGTACTCTAAGAATAAAACATATAAAAATGAAACACATAAAAATAAAAATCTTTTTGACGTGTAATACTGAAAAAAATAAAAAACCTATAAATTACAAAATTATAGTGAGTTAAAAAAAACCTAGTTGAACTATACATAAGAACTTCGAAAACCTAATTTACTTGTTCGTATAAGTTACTCGGCATTTTAGAAATAATCTCAATTACAAGTTTAAAAAAAAAAAAAAAAAAAAAAAAAAGAGGGCTGACTCGAAAACTTGGAAGTCCTATCTTATCTATACTTTTAAACTCTATGCGCGTTTATCTGTCTGTTTATTTATTTGTGACATGAATTGAGATTCGAGAAAGATACCCCTCGATTCCAAAAATTCGTGAAAGCCAATTCGACGATTCTCATCTTCGTAACGACTTTTAATCAGCCGAGATATGAATTAAAAACTCTGCAAACGTTAATTCTCGCACTCATTTTTTTCGAGTGGCAACTGTCTTGCGCTCTGCAAATAAAAATATGCTTTGTTTCGAAAAGTGTTGTCACTGCTCGCTTTCAAATCTTAGAGTCTGTTCATAAGAAATTTGTAAGTTTTACAAAAAACGAAATAAAAATAGTATTGCCCAAACATTAAATATGTTTCTATGTTTGTACTCTGCTTGATAGTTTTGCCATATCGAGAAACATAAAACAATCGTTGAAAAATGATGGGTGAATAAAAGTAGTACATGCTGTAAGGTAAATTACACTCATGTCCATAAATTAAGGATAATAAGTCACGCGGAAATCGAACTCTAAAATGGATATATAAGGAATACAGGCAAAGAAGTAAAATTGTTCGCAGGCGCTTTTTAAGCTTTTCAGTGCAATAACCGAATAGTTATGACACAAAGGACGCATTTGGATGATTTTTTACTTGATAGAATTATCGGGCGTCTGGAATGTGGGCGTACCCAACTGGAAGTATCAGACGAACTTGGAATTGCCCAGAGTGTCATCTCCAGGCTTTGGCAACGATTCCAAGATGATACTAATGTGAGTAGACGTTACAGCACAGGTCGTCCCAGAGTTACAACGCCGAATGAGGACCGATATTTGGCAGTTACTGCCAAAAGAAACAGGCGTAGCACAGCCTAAGACCTGTCTCGCCAGCTCTCTTCAGCCACTGGTACGACAATTTCAAGGCAGACCTTGTACAGACGCTTAGAGCAGATTGGTCTATATGCTCGTAGACCTGTCAGATGCGTTCCATTTACTGCATCTCACTGTCGCCTGCGGTTAGCCTGGAGTAGTGAGCACATTGGGGGCACCGCAACAGTGGGCTTGTGTGATGTTTTCCGACCAGTCCAGGTTTAGCTTGCAGTCTGATTCTCGCCGGACTTTCATATGGAGAGCTCCAGGTACCCGTTACCACCAAGAAAACATCATTGAACGACACCGTTACAGTGGTGCAGGAGTGCTCGTTTGGGGTGGAATTATTCTGGGTTCCAGAACTGACCTGCATGTTCAAATTGGAACCATGACAAGCCAAATCTATCGGGACGTCATTCTGGAACAACATGTACGTTTGCTTCGGGGCGCTATGGGCGCACAATTTGTTTTATGGATGACAACGCCCGTCCTCACCGTGCAAACATCGTAAGTGAATGCCTTCAATCGGAGGATATCACCCGTATGGACTGGCCAGCATTCTCACCGGACTTGAATCCAGTAGAGCACGTGGGAGGCTTGCTTGGCCGACGAGTTGCAGCCCGTCAACCTCCTCCTACATGTCTACCGGAACTTCGGAGAGCATTGCTTTTTGAGTGGTGTAATATCCCCCAAGATCAGATCGATAATTTGATACTCAGCATGCCTAGGCGTTGTACGGACTGTATTGCATCGTCTGGGAGACATACAATGTATTAACAATCATACCAACTATGTAATATTGGTTTTTGTAAATAGGTTTTTTTTTTTTTTTTTTTTTTTTTTTGTTAATTTGCTCCAGGGAGAAAAAATCGCTAATTTTTTTTTAATAATGTCAAACATATAGCATCTTTTTTGCTCTTTACCTTTTGTTTAATAAATAAGCCTTACAAATAAGTCAAATTTGTTTTGCTTCTAACTCTTCCTTTGCCTGATTTTGCATTATCCTTAATTTATGGACATGAGTGTATTTAGCAAGATTATTACCAAGATTATTTAGCCAAGACCGGCACTTGGCTAAATAATCTTGGTCCAGTCGTGTTGAACTGTTTAACATAAGCGGGGCAGAGCTTCCCGTTAGCATAATTCACATGTGCACATCAGTATCGCCACTGAGAGAGGAGTTCAAATAATGAACCAATGAGCTTCTACTGCTCTTGAATCTTTGAAATTGTGGAATGATAGCATGTTGTTCTTTATGTTTTATTTTTCGTTTGCTACACAGTTATAAGTTATATTTGTAAAGCGTAAAAATTCTGTTACCATTTTAGTAGAAAATCTCGTAGTATTTTCATTTTATAAGTTTATTTATTTATGCTTGAATATTATTTGTATTCTAACACCCGTGGATTAAGAGAATTCTAAGTGTACATTTTTTTTTTATTGAGCTGAGAATAACTGCAAGTGTTACTAGTATTTTCTTAAGAGTCAAAATACACATTGTGAATGATCTGATGATCTAAATTGCGATTATACCTATTGTTAACATTAAAAGTTACATGTGAATAGATTGAAACTATTCGTTATAAATATGATACATCCATTGTGTTTGAACAGTATTTCTTGCGCAGGCAATACATTCAACAGTGAACAGTTAATAATTTGAAATTTAACGCACTAAATATGTAGAAATGCAAATTAGGAAAATTCATTTTGAATAAAACAGCACTGGCTGTTATTAGAGAATATATTTTTCATATAGACTGCAACAAAAATTGCTAAGACTTCTATTATTTAATATATAACCATGCTTCTATTTGATCTAACTTCGCACTGAACATTTTCACAAGAAATCCACAATGCGTTAATTATTTTGTACAGTAAATTGCGTGGCAAAACGTTTTCAGTGCTTAAAGTGTTGCGAAGGTCATGTAAATTGCCAGATATATTAGTATAAGCCCATTGGCCCATTCAGAGGCTACTCCCTCGATAGCTATACAGATGTACACTTACGAAATATACCTCTGGTTAATGTTACAAGGTTGTTTTAAAGACAAAATACCGTCAAAGCTTTCTAGGTCGTTTTTAAAACGAAATGGCAAATGATCTTAAACGCTAAAACTTTGCTTACAAAGTCGTTTTTAAAACAAAATGGCAGCCTATATACATATACCAGAGATACTACAAGTTATATATATATATAGAGAGAGAGAGAGAAATATAGATGTATCGACATCAAAATTTAATTAATCAACAAAATTTTCTTTTCAGGTCTTCCACTTATTTGGGTAGGGGTCGTAGTAGCATCTTCACCCAATTACGGTTATGAAGACAGGTATAGTTCTTTATTTTTACTTAATTAAACTATCCTGATTAAATGCTTAAAACTAACTTCATATCCTAAAATTCGATCTCTCTAATAAAACTTAATATTTATAATAGGAAGGTATATCTGAAAACATACCTCTTTTTTTCGCTTTCAGCCAGTACTTAAAGCATTAAAAATAATATTTATATTAATGTAATATATATTATCCTGGAAAAGTTCAGTCAATTTTAAGTGATCGAAAATACCTTTAAAGTGTAAATATGTGATTTATTTTAACTCGAAAACAAACTCTCGAAGAATACTATGTAAACAGTGATCTAACTCCAGCTATATGTTCTTAAATACCAGAAGGAACAGCTTTTGCAATTCTTTGTGTTGTTAATATATTTTAGAATGCAAAGTTAAGTCGTAAAACTTGATATAGGAAAATCACAAAATAATCTTATTAGTTATCATGTAAAAGTGACTGAAGTTTAAATTCGGTTAATATATGTAGTATTTCTGCCATTCTAATAAATCTAGAAATTCTAATGAATCTACATTCTACAAACTGCACTTGCATGAGCAAGATCTAAATTCTAGACTAGATTTCTACCAAATTTAAATATGTCTTTTAGAATTAATTAAAAAATAGAAAGGCAAATGAAAAAAAAAAAAAAAAAGCTTTCAAATTTATATTACGCACAAAGGGGCGTTTTTTAACTTTTTTTTTTTTTTTTTTTTTTTTTTTGTGTGTGTGTGTTACCTTTATTTATTAAATATCGCGTTTTTCGCACTTAAACCATATAAAATTAAATTCAACATCAATATCGCAAAATATTTAAAAACAGCATATCTGTAGAATTTCCGATAGACAGTCTCTATCGCTGGAGATGAGTTTTTTTTTACTGTGTTTCCATTGCTCGCTTTGAAATCGTTGAGTTTGTTAATCAAAAATTCGTTAATGTTTCACAAAATATCAAAGAGTTAATAAAACAAATTCGAAATTCAAAATTCGGGGTACCAGTTGCACATGTTCGAGTGGAGGATTAAGTTATTTAAAATTTCATGGCTCTAGGTAAAGCCATTTTTCATAATGCAAGAAACATACATAAATTCATGGATATTCTTCATCATTTAATTTCTTTAAATATAACACAGGGGGATAATATTTGGTGGCAATAATTTGAAAAGTGATTCAGACTTTCATAATGATAAGCAAAATACCGTTTTAAGACTAGTAGCCCTGCTGGGCTAATAATAGCAGTTTTGTGTCAAAAGTTATAAGCATTTGCATTGATTAAATTATTTAGTATACCCTTAATGTTTATTTCAAATAAACTTTTAAAAACATTTAGTTTCCTTCAGTGAAGAATCTCTGAAGTAGTCAATCATAAGCAGCTCAAAAGAATTCTATACGATAATCATGCAATTATAAAGAATATTTATTTTTAGTGTTTATTGCATCATTCCTTCATTGAAATTGTTTACTCGCGTGTAGAACGCGTTTTAAAAGTAACATAATATTTGTTCCTTTATTCTTTTCATAAAAAATTATATTTTATTTGGCAGTTCAATAACATATAATTTAATCGGTTTTCAACTAAAGGATGTTAAGCGTTTGTAACATATTTAAAATAAATGCTTTGAAATGTATACCATAATTTAATTTTCTTCTATGTTATTTCTACAGTATCAACAAAACTAAATTGAGTTTGATCTGCAAGGCTTTTTCATTTACAACAATATGCTATGGTTAATATATGCAACGATAAGTTACGCTGATTGATACAAAACTGTTATGGACTTCAAATAAAGTACCGCCTCTGGTTGCGTAGTCTTACCCAAAATTTAATTTAATTTTTATATGAACGCAGAAATCTTAAATGCGGAAAGCATAAATTTTTGAAATTCAATACAGGAGAATGAAGCCAAAAACTCATCACATATACATACAGACATAAATTATTGTAAAAATAGTAAAAACTTGTTGGAAGGACCCTAATTGACAAGGAGGCAAAACACATGGTTTCATCTCTTAATGCAAAAATCACTTTGAAAGAAACTACAAAATCAAGTTTTTAAACTAATGATTCCTAAGAGTCAAAATTTGGGTCATTAAGCAAAACACTAAGGTTTCACGAATGGGATAAAACCTCACGAAATCAAATTTGACATCTGAATAAATATTTTTTGCGGATTAATCTGTGCTTGATTTTACTTTCCGATATTGCCCTTATTCTCGTCCTCTTACCAATCAGTATGGTCAAAATCGTCGAAAACATCCTGCCTATGTTACATTGTTTCCCCACTTGATTAACTTCCATCTTCTAATTAACTTCATTTTGACTTGTTTTTTCAGCTGTTTAACCACGGCGGGTCACTGTTTATCTCTGATGTTTAAAAAAACTATTCAGAATTTTATACAGACTTAATTAGCATTTGTTTATTAATCTTTCATTATTTTATATAATGTTCGAATTTAAGACTAGTATAAGACAGCTTTTAGGACAAGATAAAGCCATAATGTTTTTACTTGCATGCTAAAGAACCTAGCTATTAATAACTTTAATTTTAAAGATTAATTAAAATAAATTTTTATTATTATCAACAAAAATTAATCTACTACACTTTAGAAAGAGACAACAAAATCTGTAGCCAATATTCATCAGGCTTTCTTAATTGAAATTATGTTCTAACAAAATTACACAATTTTTTTTCCCTATGATAAATAAACTTAATTTCAAAGAATTATTTATACATATAACAATTCTTAACAGAAATTCATGAAAAGACCTTCACCATTATAAATTATTAGAGTTCAGTTTTCAATCATTTATTTTAATCTTATTGCCTTATATTAATTAATACATGGAATAAGATTCATATCTAATTGCTTTGGGCAATCACATTGAAACTTATAAATATCATTATTGTGAACATGAATTCGTAATCATAAAAGTGAAACAATAACCCGTGATAGGCGTAGATTTTTGGCTGTGCCTATCACAGAAACTCTATCGATTTGGAGGGCGAACAAAGTACCTCTTCATCAGGAGCAAAGAAATCTACGCCTATCGCAGGCTGTTGCTTACTTTTATGATTTATTTAAGGCGTGTTTCTCTTATCTCTTGATAAATTCATAAATAATAAAAATATGATATTGCACTAAAATCCTTTATTTACATTAGATAGTTCATTCACATTTAGATATAGAATACTCCCTATAACCCCGCGGCATAGAATATGTATGTTTTGCTGCAATTTAAGGAACTTAAAGAATGAAAAACTGAGTCATGATTTCTAAACCGAGTCACTGAATATTTTCCGGTATAAAAGAAGCAAAATATTTTTAAACAGGTGTATGGTTGGACCTACCAGAGGGCTGAGATGTTCATTAGCTTGCCCATTAGCATTCATTAGTATGGTAAGTGCATTAGTTCATTTTTTTTTGTCATGAAAATTGCATAAATGAAGAGCCGGTTATTTCTTTAATTTGGTATATTTCTTAATTCTATAAAATACACATAACGCCTAGTGTAAACTAAATTTAAGTACTAGTAAATTCTTCTTGGAAAGTAAGAAGTGTTTTTCATAAGTCTAAAAAATTTTTTATACTTCATTTGCATATGCTTTCATTCAACCTAATTTTTAAATTAGAAGAAAATTTTAATTAATTTATATCAAAAGTAACAAACATATTTCCTTTTTGTTGGGACAGAGTTCTTTCATTTGGAGCATTGTCATTTGTTGCAATCTGACTTCTCCTCAAATCAAAAGGATTGAAGTTGTTCAAGAGCTTAAGTAAGTGTTCTTCTCTAACTGATAATTAAAAGTGTTTCTTAAAGTTTTCAACAATTCTTGTTCTAATTTTCACTAATCTTATAATCTTTTCAATTTTTATAACACATATTCTCAGATGATAGAATATAAGGAGTTCTAGTAGTAACTGATATATTTACTAACTTCAGCGTTGTCTCCTCATGAAACATTGTCAAGTTAATCATTGTGATTTTTGCAACTTAAGGGAATCAAAATTATTGCATTTTTGTTGTAAATTTAGTATTTTTGAACGCAAATATTTCCTTTAGTACTTTCGAACATGAGCTTAGATTCAGTATTTTTAATATTTGATCGATCCTTACAAATTAAATTATTTTCACAAAATGATTCGATGTTATTTTGTCATTCAAGGTATGTATTTTGCAAAATACATCTAAGTAAAGTAAATTATTAAAACTGTAACATGTCCTCCACAAAATTTCTTTTGTACGGAAACAAAATATTATCATTAACTCAACCATAGCTTAATAAGTTAATTTAGCTGCTTTAATTAATAAAATATGGAAAAAGATGAGTGTCACGATAAAATTTTTATATTTTATGTACACATTTTCTATATTATAAAAAATGAATAATAACGCCTATTTCTAATACAGATACAATGAGCATAATAAGGCACAATCAATGTTACATGTTTAACAAGAATAATGACAGACTAAGCGTACCTTATTAGAAAATAAAATGCAGTTAGGTTTTTGATATTAAGAGATTTAGATCGATCAGTGTAATTTTGGAATCATATCACTGCACTTGGAGACAGCTAAATTGCTAGAAAATTCCGGTTCTTGAATTTTCTTTCAAGATTTAGAAAAATAAGGTCTGCAAGTTATTTTGATGGAATTATCAAGCTTTTATGAAATGTAATCTGTATACCCAATGAGTCTTCTCAAAAATGCAAATTTTTGGAACTCTGTTAAATTAGAGAAGAGAAGCAAAATAGCAACAAAACGTGACGAAGATGTTCTTTTAACGTAGAACTTTATATAGATTTCGTTACCCTCAATTTTATATTAAAATACAGCAAAACCGCATTGCATTCGTTCCAACAGACGGCAATATCTGGAAAACGGTATTTTTGGTAGCATAATGAAACGTCGGTATTGAATGTCATCGATAATCATATCTTTTCTTAAGAAAACCAAATTCAGGGAAGAGCAAACTCATTTGAAACCCTGGGTAATTATCTCAGTCAGGTTTTACTATATTTCTAAATCCAAAATATCGTATTATCATTCATTTATTTAAAGCATAGTTGAAACCTTTTGATAGTAATAATTTTTATGTATTCACCTTGTCCACAAAAGTTGTTAACCGATCTTTATTTTTGCAATTGTTTGTAGTTATGCTTTAAATTAGAAATGGTTTTGGAGGACTGAACATTTGTTATACTATTAATAAATTTCCTCATAAAATAGGAGAATATGACTTAGAATATAATGCAAAGCATTTAAAATAAATAACAAAGCATTTAAAATAAATAAACAAAGCATTTAAAATAAATACACAAAACATTGTGTATTTATTTTAAATACTTTATTTATTTGTTCTCATTTCTGTTTCCTAGAAACTAGTTTAATGAAAAATAAATTTTAACTATATTAGTTGACATAAATCATTAATTCTCTTTGAGTTCACTGAACAGAAATTTTCCTTTTACATTTTCTGTAAATAAATGCACTGAAATTACTTTTTTGCAATATAAATTATTTTTAAATCATGAGATAAGGATAAACGATGATTTAAAAATTATAGGGTTACACTTAAACTGATAATAATATTTTAGTCCTATAGCTGCAACAAACATGAAACGAGTTGTCGCTTTGTCTGAGAAAAACAACGAGGTCTTGAGAAGGTAAAACACAAGTGGATGCTATTCTGCTACAATGACCACAACTAGTGGTGATGAAAAATAAATAAAACTTTCAATTTGACGTAAACTTTGAACAGTAGACAAGGACACTAGAAACATTCTCATTAACTCTATTGTAGCATCAGAATTAATGTGCAGGCAGCGAGAAACCGCAAAGTCGGATAATTACGTCTATTAGAGCTGGCAGGAAACTAACCTCATAGCGCGCACGCAACGCCAGATTCTCTGTATTAAGTCCTAAAACGACTGAAATTATAAATAACTAAAGATTCATTACAAAATAAATAGAAGTGTCTAGTTTTCAGATTTTTTAGTTCAGTGTTATTTTTTCCATCATTTTGTTTAAATTAAGTTTCAGTTAAGCGAGATTTTACTGTACTTATGCTCTTTTCAAATTCTACTATCTCCTAACTTCAGTTTAATATAACTCCCTTCCCCATGAATTTTATGACATGAAAGAATTCATACTATAAGAATTCTCATAGATTTTATGACCTCAGAGAATTATATTATTATAGCAATCAGTATTTTCTAAAAGATATTTCAGTGCATTTAAGAATTAAAACACAAAAATTTAATGTTTTCTTTACAGCTGTAGCACAAAGATGCTGTGTTTCTTATCCATGTTTTTCGTGGGTATCTGGATACCAGGTATTGTCACCTGGTTAGAGCTTGACGTCATCAATCTCAGAGGGTGGCGAAAATTGTTCCAAATTTTTAACTCTTGGTTGGTAAGTAAAATTTAAAAAATATTTGATTAGTATTTTTATAGTAAAAACTAAAATATTAAACCTATATGGGAAAGAAATATATGAAACTATAATTTTTCTTCATCCAGTATTTCTTATCAATGGCTGAAGAGGATCAAATGAAGATATAAATAGATATAAAAAAGCAAAAAATTCTTTCAAAATTTAGTTTAAATTTTTATCAGCCATTATTAAATCTTGAAACACTTGATCTTGCGTAATTTCTGTGTTAAATTTCATTAACTATACAACATTTTTATTTTACATGAGAGTAGTTCATGTGGTGTAAAATTTTTAAGGTTATAACAAATAATGTAACTAGGAAATAAAGAAAGATCAAATATAAGAGAAAACGAGGAAAGATAAAGAAAATAAAGATCTTTATAAGAAAATAAACTTTTAAAACCTTTTGAAATGATTTTGAAAGTACACGGTAAAAAAAAAGTCCGCTCTTTACAGGCAAAAGTTTTGTAAAGTTACAGAAATAAAAAAGTTACACAAGAATTTCCTGTAATGGTAACAGGTTGAAAGCAAACTGTGGCGGATACAGCAGATTTGCCTGTAACATTACAGATAATGTTTCAGTAGCCGCGCGGAAGAATCACGTGACTGACTGAAAATTAGCCAATCAGGAGAAAAGTGTTTGAAAGCTAGTTGCAGAAAAAAACATGGCTAAATGCATGCTGCTTGTATAGCGCAGGTAAGTAAGAAAATGTTTACAATTACTGTTTGAAATATTTTTTTGTTCATTTTATGCAGATTATTCTCATGCACTTTGCACTGTTACATGTAGTGAGTAATTATTTAAACGTTTAAGCTTAGCGATTAATTAATATCAGTGTTCGTAATGTCTAATGAGTTGAAAGAGTGCAAAATATTTATTCCAAATGCAGATCTAATAGTAGTATTTTGTCATTGTGCATCCGATAAATTACGCCTTAAATTGCCCGTATTATTATAACTAATTATTCCAAAATTTAATCACTGTTATGGTATTTAATTGAACCGGTAATGTGGTTGTTGAAAACAATATTAATTATGTTAGCGTTCGTTTGCAATCGTCTGACCAAAGAACGTTTGACATCTTTTTCCCGGCAGGCCTTGCGAGAAAAGTTTATGTAAACATTTAGAATTCTGATGAATGTAATGTATATATTTTTTGCTTACTAGGTTTAGTTTATTCTTTTTTAGGATTACTGAATTAATTATACTTGGTTTATAATTCAGTCTAATAATATGTTTATGTACGAGTGTGTTATATGAAGTAAAATTACAAAAACTTGAACAACGCGGTCGAGAATCTCGTTTATTCCTTTAGTGTAATAATATTATTTTTTCAGTGGTATTAATTTCTTACGAAAATGTTATAATTCCAAAATGAAGTAATTATATTGATTAAAAATATGTCGCATCAAATACTTTTCGTAATGTTCTGTTTTACTAACTAGATGCAACTTAATTATTCCATATATTTTAATATACCAATATCAACAGGGGAAAGATGGAAATGACCTAAAATATTTTTCTAAAAATTCGTTAAACTAGTTATAAACGAAAACTAAAATTTTGTGCATTATTTCCAAAAATATCATTTCATTAATATTTTATAAATGACAAAATTTATTATATTGTATAAATATCTACCATTGCATACTTATAAGTTTTAAAACATTTAATGTAGAATTTATGTTGATTTTATTTTGCCCAGTTTTAATACAGTTTTGAAGTATGATAGTCTTGTTACTAGGATAGCATGAATCTGCTAATACAAGTTTAATACATTTCTTGACAAATGTTTCTCTTATTCATGTTTTCTCTTAATATAATGTTTCTCTTATAAATCATAAAATAAAAAATAAGTTTTCTTAAAAATAAATTATGATTGTTTATTGGAATTTAAAACAATTCTGTATCTGTATGTTAGTATTAAAAATAAATAATAATGAATTTTTAATGAAGCATTGATTTTAGCATTAACAATGTAAATATATATATATATATACACACATGAATAAATGGAAATGCAAGCTATTTTCCTTACAAAGCCGCCCATGAATATATACTTTCCTTTAGGCTGATAGCCTTTGCATGCTTTGCCATATTCTATCAATCCAAATGATGCAAATATGCAAAAAATTTTACTTTTTTGAAAGTTAATGCAGGAAATAAAATTCAGTGCATTTGTAAACTACATTAGTTCTCTTATAGCTTGCCATTTAATTGCCCAATGATTTACTAGTCCAAACTAATGGCAGAATTCAGATATCGTTCAAATAAAAGAAATTTAATGAAGGTCTGATGTTTTAGACGTATATATGAAGATTAATTTTTTTTAAATATTATTTTAAGTCAACCAAATTAATTTCAAATTTAAGTAAATATTCATGCCTTTCAGTAGCATTATTTTTGGAAATCTTAAATTAAATAACTGAATGCAATATTCTTGTTAATAAAAGAAAAGCAATGTTATGAAAGACTAGCGAAGTCGATTTGCAAGTTCTAATTACGAAAGGCCATTTTTAAAAATAATTAATTTAAAAAAAAGTTTTTAACGTAAAACTTCCAAACTCACACATGTGGAATCATGTGTAATTGATCATGTATAATTTCATGTGTCATAAGTCTTTAAAATGAACTTAATTCTCATCATATTTATTAACACAAATTTTTTTAAAGAAGAAAAAGTCACATTTGTTTTGCTTAGTTGCACACGAAGAAACATGCCTATATATAGAGAGAGAGAGGGAGAGAAAGAGGAGTTATGTTTACTTGCAGACTTTTTTCTTCCTTTTACTATATTTATAGTATGAAAATCAAGGGGGAAATTAAGCAATCAATTTAATTTTGAAGGATGTGATTACAGTAAGATCAACCAATCAAAAATATTCATGAATGAACTACTGGTAACTATCATAGTATTATTATTTAAAAGAAACCTACATTCCAATAAGAATGCTTAGTAACATTAACCATTTCAAGTTATCTGATAAAAGTAATTTTCATTCCTACTTCCCTATACCTTGAATTTCACTCTTATTTGCCCACTGCTACTCCCTAGACCTCAAAGCATTTAATGCATCTGGAACTGCAATTTGTGTCGTTCTTCTACAGCATGCAAGTTATCACCGTTCAGTTTGTACTGCCACGAGCAATGATCTTCAGAATTACCGTATTGCGTTGCATATTCCACCCCACCCAGCTTTAGAACCAGATTCTGAAAATTAAAAAAATATTTGCACATAATTTTCCCCCTTTTAATGCATTCAGAAAATGAATATCCCAAGATTTTAAAATGGATTTATCGAACATAATGATTGTTTTCGTCATACTAACAAAGGCAAACTTTTGCACACTAAAGGCCCCTGTTGAATATTATGTCAGCCTAATACAAAAAATGATCTATGATAGTGAAAGCAAATACCAACTGCCATTCACTGTGCAATTTTGCCATATCAGCTGAATGTTCACCCTATTCACCTTCTCTAATTATTTATGTATGATCTGAGGCCTAAGGATTTGCAAGAACAACAATGAGAATGACAGAAATTCAAATTATAAAGAAGAAATGAGATAACTTATTAGATGTTGCAATTATGTGTATTCTTATTGAAATAGAGGTTTCTTTTAAATAAATAATATTGTGATAGTAGTAGTTTATCCATGATTACTTTTCATTTGTTATATTCCTACTGTGACTGTGTCCTTTGGAAATTAAATTATTCGTTTAATTTTTCCCTCTTAATTTTCGGAAGATAAAATTAGTAAAAATAAGTGGGAATATGGCATCAAGAGCATTAGATATCCCCATTTTCTTGAAGCTGTTCACTATTATTGTTTCATCAATGATAGGCCATGCACCCAAAATCCACTAGCAAATCAGTTAGTAAGATGAAAATGACCACTATGCGACCAAAAAATTTAGGGTAACTTGTTTTGTGAGCGCCTTAAGGAAGACAAACATTACCTAAATCATTTAAAACATATTCAGAATCCTGTGCTAAAAGAAAGCTAGGGGGAAAATGTTGTCCGAGTCCCAGTGATTCATTTGGACCAATATGTAATATTGTTTTAGAAATTTAAGGTAATAAATATAATATTTTTCGAATGCTAAAACAGTTCGAGAAATTTATTCAAGTTATGAATTCTGAATATAAGTATACTGTATATTATATTTAATAACTATGGTGGCTTCATTTATGAAAATATTTGAATATTGGCTGTTTTTGTACAATGAACCTTCTCTAAGCTAGCTATACGTGATTCCTGAAAATTTTGATCTTTAAATGATAGTGGGCATCCTAGAGAAGTTATGTTTACTAATTAGTTATTTTATGAGGAATGCTGGTTAAATTTAAAAAGTGATTGACTGAGGTAGCTTGTCGTAATGAGACGGTTCACTGTAATCCAATTTTTTAAAGAATTTAAGCTGTTCTTAATTAATTAAGATATTATAAAGAAATATGATTAAAAGTGTTATATAAGCACATGTTTAAAACATCTATTAAAATAATTTTTATAAGCTTTTTAAGAGCATGATTATGATTTTAAAAGAAATGTTTTTTTCTTTATTTAGGAGACATGGTTTACAAAGAGGGAAAAAAAAAACCATTCATTTTTTCCAAGCAGTCGAAACGAATTTTTATGAAATGTTTATTATATTATGTTATTTTTTAATTAATTCTTTTTTTCAGGTTTTATGTAAAGTTTATGAATTAAGTAATAAATTATTTTTACTTCTGTATTTTAATTAGCATATTATTTGCTTCATAGTGTTTCACAATAAAATTATAAATTCAATAAACTTCTTAATTAACATGCTGTAATATAGAGAGAGCATAAAGTTTGTTTTCTGTTGTCACATGTATATTTCACAATTTTGTATGCGAATCTCGAAATTTATAATAACTAGGAATACTTTTTAGTATCACTTTCGAAATGGTAAATATTAAGCTTAGATTTATTACATATTATGTTTGTAAAAA